GATTTTTGTGTGTATATATATATATATATATATATATATCAAAAGGTCCACTACGTTTATCTCACTTCCTTTCCTCACCCTCATAACCAACCAATTTGTTTTCTTGTTTTCACAGCTCAAAACACCATAATTTATATGAAGACATACAAACTTATCGCTCAATTTGTATTTATATATCTAACACCCTAAATTTTTACATTCATACCATTCAATTCCTATGCATTTACATATGTAAACTTCAATTTTTTACACTGCCACCTTTCTTATGCATGAAAATGTGTATTTCACTTTTCAAAAATTAAAATGGTGGTATTTTTTATGTGATGTGAAAGATATGGGGCGTATATATATCAAAATGCAAAATTTAGGTGTTAGTTATGTAAATACATAGGAAATGAGTGGAATATGTAAATGCGCCTAATAAAAATATGATCAGCAATGTAAAACATGAAAACGAGCCATCATATGTAATTACCATCATATTTTTCTAAAGGAGTCATAGGGCAGTTAGAACTTTGCGTGAAGCTTCTAGGGATCTCCTCATGTTTACTGTCTGCGACATCAATTCAATACCATCTAAGATCTCATTTATTTTTTATGTTATTTTTATTTTAATTTTAATTTTAATTTGTTTATATTTTGATTTAAAATAAAACATTTTCGTAATTTAAAATAAAATAAGGTCACTCAAAACATCCAAAAATTATTTTGAGTGTTCTCAAAAATATGTTAACTTGTTTAATATATATATATATATAACACTAAATAAATATATTTTAAAAATAAAAATAAAAAACAAATTTGATCCCAAACAAAACGTATGACTATAACTTCTGAAGGAAAGAAAAGAATAGTTGGGATGGATTCAGAAAAAGGAAAAAAAATGTCAATTTTTGGGTAGAGATGTAAAATTTGACAACAAACCACAAATTAGAGACTTCTTTCTTCTTTCACATTCCTAGCATTCAAAGCAGTAGCAAAAAAGCACATCAATAATTAGATATGCAAACAAAAAGGTTTAGACATTATTGATGTGCTTCAAATATAATCTTGCTGAATAAACAAACATAAAGGTTTAGATATTAGATATGCAAAAACATAAAAACTCTGTGGTTTGCATGTAAATGACTAGATAGTTTTCCAAATAATAGATAGAGTGAACTTAAGCGATGAGATTAACAAACTGCCATGAAAAGTTTATGAAAAACAACAGTTAAATATTAACATTTGAAAAATAATTTGAAATCATAGTGCAAAATTTCTTATAATTTGTGTGCATTATATAAAGCCATCTAACATTAGAGTGAAGATCTCCCTCTGGCAGCCATAGACCACATGAGCATCAAATTTTCATTTCCTCCATCTTCCTATTTTAAATCCTTTGACTCAGTCATCCCCAGACACCCTTATTCTAACTTAAAAAAAAAATAAACATTTGCTTGAATAATTTATTAAGCATCAACAGTCCAATATTTTATCAGCGTTCGTAGTAATCTAACACTATTACAAAAATCTCAGCCTAAAACAATCATAAAACAGCTTCAATTCAATATTTAATGTCTTATAATTTAGAGTTAATAATCATAAATTTTGTAATCTAAAACTATGTTTCATGACAATATCAAAATTATTTAAATCACTAATAATAGCAAGTACTTGGGGTTAGGACCAACTTAAGAATTCCGAATTCTGATTGACCTGGTATCTCTAAAGTTTTGACCCGTTCACATTTTGGGTTGACCCATGAACTCGAAATTGTCCCACCAACCCAAAATTAACTCACCAGCTCAAATTTGACCTGAATAGCTATTATGCCATTATGCTAAATAGGTTATTTGAGTCGGAGACAGAGTCAGTCTGGTAGAAGCCAAGTTAGTTCAATTTCGACTTTATGACACATGTAATAAATAGGTAGGGATCGCTCATCATACAGATGCAATTTGCATGTGCAGAGTCCGCATGCATGCGGACTACTAGCATGCATGGGTACAACGGTGTACAACATAGTTGTACAAACAGTCTGCATGCATGCGGGCTCACTACCTAATATTGTACCCTACCTGTGACACATACCAAACAGCCTTTGACTTTCATGCAGATCATACAGAATTTAGTATAATTAATCCTACCTGCGCATGCAGTATCTGAACTCCTGGCTCCGTATTCTGTCGATCTCTCCTTCTTCCAGCTAAACAAATACAAACAGAAAAACTCTATTCAAATTTAAAAATGGCAGACAGTTTTGTGGAACGAAACGAAATCAAACCGAACAAAACCTCACCGGATCGCTCTCGTATACGAGCTCATAGCAGACGGCGGATGTACATTTCAGGGCGCAATTCTCCTTCTCGATCGACGATGACCTGCATCGTGTTCCCCACAGCCCACTTCTCCGCCATCGAAAGAAACCCTTTTTCAGATTAATGGACAGAAAACGATCTAGGGTTTCGAGTTGTGAATACTACCTACCTCTCAATGTCGGCATAGCAAGCCTGTTTCCTCTCGCTTATTTCCATGTCCTGCAATTGAAACCAGATTATAGTTTGGAGCAATGCATAGACCCGGGGACAATAGAGAGGGAGGGAGAGGTGGATTACGGAAATGGGGTCGGGAGAAGAGGGGTTGCCGGCGAGGATGGAGGTGGTGCTGAAACAGAGGAGGGTTGCGACTGCGAATTTGAAGAGGGTTGCCGGAGAGGGTTTCGGCTTGGCCATCTTATGATCCGATGCGGACGTCTTCTAGGGAAGAGAGGGAGAGGAGAGAGTGGAGGAGATTAGGTTGCCGTTTAGGTTTTCCATCAATTATAGGGTATCAACCCCATTTCCCGACCATTACCTAGAAAAAATTGCACCTGTGCCCTAGTAACGTCTTCAAACGGAAAACAGGCACCGCAGCCCTCGCGCGCGTTTCCTCTCTCTCTCTCTCTCTAGAATTTACAAAAGATATCTCTCTCTCTCTCTCTCTCTCTCTCTCTCTCTCTCTCTCTCTCTCTCTCTCTCTAGAATTTACAAAAGATATCTCTTTCAGTGTGTGGAAACTCTCTTGAAAGATGTGATTTGAATATGTGATCTTATAGTGAAAGATTATGCTCTCTTTCGTATATGATCTTCTGAAGAGTTCTCGTGTTGTACCATTCATTTGATCCTTGTCCCCTCTATATCTGAAATCCTCGTTTACATACTCCCGTTCTTCTGCACTAAGTGCTCACTTACATCCCTACTTCGTACCCCCTCTTGCGTTTTTGCCCACAACCAACACCTTTGTGATCGTACGTACGTAAGATACCACGTAATTTTTATGTATTTACATACCTAACAAGTAAATTTTAATATTTACACAAGTGCAATTTTGGAGGTGCATTAAAAGTTGTATTTCACATTTTAAAGGATAAAAGGAGCTTTTATTGTATCAAAGACTCTAAATCCTTTTATTTACTCACGGAGGTCTCCCCCTCCGTGCATTCTTTTCGTTTCGCACTGTCATATGCAGTAGAAGAAAAACTAGAGATGAGGAAAAGAAGAATGTTGTGAGGTGAAAATTCTAATAAAATAATCCGTTAAAATATCCACAAGGCATATCCATCTATCACTCTCTTGTTTCGTCGTGACTAAAAAGATTTCTCGCTTTTTTCAAGCCAGCTCGGCAGAAGATTGGCGAGTGCTCGAGGATCACTTGAGAAGAGAATGGAATAGGATTTTTTTTGACACTTTTGTAAGTTCAATGGGAGAGGGGACGAAAAGAAGGCATAGTGGTCAAATAGAGACCTCCGTACGTAAATAAAATGTTTCAGGATCTTGATATGTAAATAACGGGATTTGAAGTCCTTATAATGTAAAAACCCCAAGATAAAATAATGATATTTTTTAGGGGCGTTTACAAGTATTGACTCAATTCTTGTGGATTTTTGTATCACACACTAAGACATTTATATTTATATGTGACACTTAATTCTTCTATATCACATAAAAAATGGCATTGGTCACAACTTTTTAATAGTCAAATCCACACTTTATTGTATAGGTCAAGTGTTGTGTGTGTAAATATAAAAAGTTTAGATGTGCAATAAGTATATCCATAAGAATTGTGTGTTATGCATTTAAGTTTTCTTATTTTTTATGTGATATGAAATGGGTGGTATAAATATAAAAGTTAAAGTTGAGGGGCTAGGTATGTTCATATAAAGAAATTAGGTCATATATATGTAGATGCTCACAGACACAGACAGACACACACACACAAGGAAACTAGGTGATATTACTAAATCCGACAAATCTATTGAATTCCCATATTTAACGAAAGATTGCAATTTACCACAAAAAAAGGTAAGAATGTGATTTAAAATCATAATGAATTT